AGTTAATCGCAGACCGTGTTTTGTCAGATGCCCGAGGAGCATTTTGGATACTACATCGATTGTCCCGTTTCCAAACGGAAACCATTTCTGGACAGACAGTTTCGGGCTAGCTTAGCTAGCTAGCTAAGTAAATCATCCAGGAGACTTTTTCATTGTCACCTAAAAAAGCCCAAAACTGAATGTTTTGTCTGTCATGAGTCCGGCCGGGTGCTCCCATGTGAACGGTTATAAGGTGGATAACTGGAAACAGAACCTTCGAGTCATATACCAATGCTTTGTTTGGAGCGGTACTGCTGAGACCAGGAGACGCAAGGTAAAAACACAGGAACTGCAACGTTACCTTCAGAAACAAAAGTGAAATAATGTTAATGTGGCACAGGCGGACACAGAGAACTGGAGTGCAAATGATGCCCCGACATGAAGTACAACCACTGAACGGGTTGGAACAAAACTACGGCGTTAGTGAAACTACTCTTGCAGCAGTAGTGTTGCTAGCACCAGGGTTAGCCAGCTAACGTTAGGTTATCACCGGTAACTGAGCTAGCACGACTCTACGTGACGAGCTGCGGCGACTGGTGGCTTCTTTGCAACGTTTAATTTCTCTTTATTAGCCCACGCAACTATTATTCAAGCTTTTCCGCCGTGAGTCAATCGGTTAGGTTCTGTTTGGTAGAGGCTAAACAGTTAGCGCATGGCTAAACTTGGGTTGTAGCCACGAGCTAACGTTACCGCACCAAAACGTACCCATTGTGGCTCTCCACGCGCACACATATTGTGGTCCACATATTGGCGGCTCTCTCCTGTCCAGGGCATCCCAGGACAGTGTGTGTGTGTGTTTTTTATTTTTTTTTTCTGCACTTGTCATTCTCTCACGAGCTTTTGGATGCTGGGACGTCAGCTGATTACTTCATTGCCAGTTTCCTTTTGGGCTTATCCCACACCTGCTCGGCCTACACAGCTCCGAATAGCTCCCTACACTGTGATGTCATCCCCGGACTGTGTTGCAGTTCTCCTTCCATTCCTCTTTTTGTAAACATTAACTTTTTTTTTTTTTTTTTTTGCGCTACGATGTTCATTTAGGACAAATTTACAGCTTGATTTGTATTATAGATTAACAACATTTATAGCCTGACTGTTATACCGGAAATAAAATCCATGCTTCACTTAAACATGTCATACATTTTATGTCGTTGTGATAAAATAGGTGCTTCAGGGTGATGCAGGATGGACAGAGCTGGTGAGTTGATTTATCCCCTCCTCATCTTCACTGACATACTGTAGTTCAGATAAATACGAACTGGCTTGCTTTCTCTCCTCTTGCTCACCTTTCTGTGTGCCTCGGTGCCTTTTCATGTAATGGACTGAATACTAGATGTGAACCTAGTAGTGGAAGAATTCAGCCCCATCCCCGTACCTGCTGTGATACTCAGTTTACAGCCAGTGAGATTAATGGGATGGTGGACTATGAGCAGCCAAAAGCATAGCTCAGTTAAATTACAGGCATGTCAAAGCAAATGGCCAGCACAAAATGGTCGATGACCCTTTTTTTTTTTTTGTTCATGCAGTGTTGTAGTGTCGCGCTTTGGTTCGAGCACAAATGTCTTTATGAATTATGTTTACACTCTGATGTACATCAGAGTTATAGTGTGTGCTGAGTACGAGGCAGTCCTAAAAAGTTAAAAGTGTAGTGGGTGACACTGCAACTGTTTTACCAGCATTTTTATAAATGGTAATATTGACTGTTTAGTTTATTTTTCACATTCTTCCTGTCAGGTTAATGAGCTCCCCTTGGTTGTATTCCTTTCATGAAATTAGGACTGGCCATGGGTGCTTTCTATTGCTCACTTCTTAGCAGTTCACAGTTGTTCTGCCCAACCCTGAGGGCGCATTCGCTGTTACAAACCTTGCCTGTCGCTTTTACTTCTGGAAGAACCGTTTCTCCATCCGTTTTGAAAACGTCACTGTCTCAGCATCATCACCCGTAGCCTTTTTGCCACGATGACCAGCACCACAACCAGTGCTTCAGCACAAACCACCACCGTTTCCTCTAATATTTACCTCCCACAAAAACTGCCGAGGTGGCATGCTGCATGAATACCAGTCCTCCAGATCTGAAAGCCGCTATTCTCATAGTCTTTGAAGTTAGATGGCATTTAAAGCCAATTTTGTGTTGTAATTATTTAGTTGATTTGTTTCTGTACACTTTAAAGCTGTCATTGGTAGTTTCAGACTGGATTGCAGTTTAGTTTTATGCAGTGTCCAACCCATGTCACCCATCACTGCAGTTTTTAATTCTTAAAAATGAGCACCACCTAGATCCTCTCACATGCCACTGCGCCACAGTACACCCGTGGCATTTTGAAGTAACAATAGGCATTGAAAACATTGCTGTGTAATACCAGCACCGTATCTAACAGTGACATTTTAGAAAGTATATTTCTGGCTGTAATGTCGGTGAAAAGAGGAGGACACGCCTCTGTTGTTGTTCGTTTCTATTAGAAATGCTGCTCTATCTCTTATCTAGTCTGTGGTTTGAAATGAGAGTACAGTTGTTTACAATCAATGTTGAGTGACAAATGGCATTAAGCGACTGATACAGAGTGAAAGGAGAGTGGCTCCTGAATGAAGTGTACTCTCTACTGCTTAATGGCACTCCACGAGTCCGAGTCTTGTGTCTCAAACCCCCTTTCACCGAGGCTTTTTACCGCCGGCCTACTCCGACATGTAGATCATGTGACGTGCTGCTCCAGTGGTGCGCGGGCAGTGCAGTCTGTGATTGTGTTCAGCTTGAAGACTAGGTGTCTTTTTAATGTCACATTCTGGTATCTTAACATTCTGAAATAGAAATACAAATCCTGTACGCGGTCACTCTGAATGTTGGCACGGTGGATGAAACAAAAGCTCATCACTGCACTGCTTACTGCTCATTCATCTTACAATAGTACAATAATGGCAAACACACGGCAAGCTCTGTGGTACAAGAGGCATGGAGGGAAGTTGAACGACCCTGCCATGCAGAGACTGATTAATGGAAGCAATGTTTTTACATTGTATTCAGACTTAGGTTGATGAGCGAGTGCCTTTTATCCTGAATTGCTGTTTTGTTTTTTCCATTTTCCTGTCGTCTTTCCTCAGCAGCCTCCCTGCAAGCTGTCATCCTCTCTACCTTAAGCTAAAAATCAATTCCCAGGCAATGTGCAGCAACATGAGTGGAAAATCTGTCACCTGCTCTGCGTGCACAATCTGAAACCCACATGGGTCATGAGTGCCAGAGACGAGGGTTTGCAAAGATGACGTCACAACCCAGTGTGGCTTGGGATCTGCCATCTTTTAATTAGTGCGTATTAATTATAATAGTAATTCTTTTGGGATGTTGGTCCTAGATGAAATGCCCCATTAGCTTCCGATGTGCATGCGGGTTAACGCTAACGCAGTGTATGGGAGCGTGCAGGCTGGCACAAGTGGTGGCCATAAATTATAGATGTAATTTGGTGACAAATTTCATATTGTTGCAGACTCCTCCAGGCCTCGAGTCCAATGTCCTTTTGCATAAACGTTTCTCAGTTGTCCCGTGCCCACAAACACCAACTACTACTTGCTAATTGTATGTGACACAAATGCTCCATGAAAAAGAAGCAATTAATTAAAGATTGAGCGATGTATTAAAGATGCCCCACATAGGAAGATGGCAAGAATACACACGTATGCAATAGTGTTTTCTCTTTGCTTTTAATGAACGTTAAATCTTTCATGATTTCCTTCTGTGCATCTGGGCTTCATTATATTCTTTTCTGGTCGAGGTGTGCTACGTGCCATATCGCCAGAGGGGCTACACCCACCGTAGACTGTCAGTTTGTGTCATGTTACAAAAAATGCGGCTCAGTTTCAGATTGCAGAGGAGGAACCATTGTTCTGATGTGCTTCCTCTTCCATCTTCCCGCTGCCTTACTTTTGTTCCTGTCTCTTAATCTATTCTATTCCTGTTGTGAGTGTTTGTTTAATGAGTCTAGCGAGCGATTGTTTGAGGACGGCACGTGAGCCTTTAGTCTGCAAAGAATTCTTCTTTCCTCTCTTAATATAGATTCATGTTACCCCCTGTGCCATACGCACAGCAAGATGCCGGCACAGAGCGGAGATAAAAAACCTGCCGTTGCTTTTAACAGTTGAATTCATTCCTCTTTAGGCCCAACTCCAGTCATATATTCATAATTTATAGTTGGTGAATGGCTGTGGTGGTGGAGGCAGAGAGTAAATATTCATGAAGGTCATGGTTATGTATTTTGTGCAGCAGAATCGGCTCTATTTGCTCTATCTCTTAAGAGGACGTCTACTAAAACACTGCTGCCATAAAGGAACCTGCTCTGCAGTTAAACCGGAGCCGTTATCTCAGGTTGAGTGGATATTGGATGAGATGGAAGCGCGGTGGGTGAGGTTGGCGGAATTTTACAACCATAACTTCTTTGAAGCATTTGTCTGTCACTTTGATTAAAGGGGTAAGCGTCGTGATTAAAGAGCCGGCTGAAGTCAGCTTTTTTTATCTTCTAGTTTTGATAAATAACATATGATCAGAGGAACCACAACCCCCCCTGTTCTTCTTGTGATGAGGGAAGATGAGAGAGAAATCGTTTGCTAGATGTTGCCGTGAAAATGTATATATTTCTCAAGGATGACACATTTACTTCCTTCTGTCCCTCCTGTTCTGTCTCTTCACACACACACACACACACACATACACATACACAAAATGCACTGAGGCACGACCAATCCCAAAGAGCGGCTGATTCCCGTGCTGCGAGCAGATCTCTTTGTCGGATCGGTCTCCATCACATCACAAGCCTGCTTTCTAACTCATCAGCATACGTTTGTAGCATCGGGATCTATTCGTCCAGCCTCTTCACAGCCCTCGCTTGTTCCTCTTCTGTGCTCACTCCCACGCTTTTTCTCCCTCCTCTTCCTTGCTTTTTTTTTTTTTTTTTTTTTTTTTTTTTTTTTTTTTTTTTTTTTTTTATATATATATTTGCAAACCTAGTTCAGCTCAGAACTCATCGCCTTTTGATTATACCATTAAATGCGTGCAATAGAAATACTTGTATTGTTTATTTTTGATATTCTAATGCAATAGTTTTGTGACAGTTTTAAGATTACACTAAATATACAGTGTTTTTTTTCATGGGATTACCTAGAATCCTTTGAAATTCAGAGCACATTTTCCCATCTTCCCGGTCCGTCCTTGCCCCTCTGCCTCACAGGAAACACTCAGTGGGTTTGGTGATGTCAGTCAATGGTTTCTGGCTGCCTTCCAGCTCCATTTCTTCCACGTCTGTTTGCTCTCCGTCACTCCCAGGTCTCGTCTAATGTGGCTTTCGGTCCGTCAGTCTTTCTGTCTGTTGCTCAGTGACTAAACAAATGGCTCGAGGCCTATGACCGCCTCCCTTAGTAATGGGCCTGGTGTGTCACCTTGCGGTGTCCCCTTCGCATGCTATTACCTCCCAATTTGTCAGCCTCAGATAGTCTACGTCATTTTACTGACTGTGCTGGATGTGCTCTGCTACGGCGCTTTCATCCTTTCTGTTTATTTTAGATCAGAGATGCTAAAGAAGACATCCGGAAGATGCAACACTGGCACGGAGAAAAGAATCATGAACAAAAACCATTAGTTTTACTTTGGCCTTTTGGGGATGGTTATTATAGCTATAGTATGTTTTTAATGACTACATATGCTCATGAGGCTTGAGGAGTGGTCATACATTTTACCAATCTAGCTGCCGGAGGAAGAGCATGACTTTGCGTTTTGATTATAAGCTCCTCTCTTGTGTAAGCTGCAACAGCCCCTCCTCACTAGACAAGTTCACTTTGACTGAATTCTTCTTCCATCTCTGCCTCTGACCATTTCACTTCTTTGGCCTCCCTTCAACCGGAGACAGAACTTCTCATTTGAGTGTCCCACAAAAGCGTGCTGGTCATGGCCTGAGCCAGCTAATGAGGCTGCTGTCCAGCTCCCATAGTACCGCCATCTGGCTAATGAGCTGTCAATCAGTCCCCAGGGGTCGGCCCTAGCCCAAAACCAAGAGGCGATCAATCTCTTCCAGTGTGGACACTCAATTATTCCCTTTTGTTAAAACCGTGGGCCCAAGTGACGACTTTTCTTCGGAACAAGGCCTTTTGTGTGAAAATGGTTCTCTCTCCTTGTGAAAAAGGTGATGATTGTGGCATTAGACTCTTGCGATTATAATTTATTACTTAAGTCTGCTCCATATGTACTCACTTTTACACACTCTGCCTCTTTACTGCAGTGCTCGTAGATCTTCCTGGAGGTAATGTTCAAGGCTCTGTGGGTCCTAATTGGTGCTATGGGGATAAAGAAGGAATCGACTTACGATGTGAAGGGATTTGAGTCCAAGGAGTCACGTCAGCGGTCTCTCTTCGATGTGTGTTTGTTTGTTTTCTTTTGGTGGCTGTGGGCATCTGGTAGCTGCACGGTTTGACTGGTGATCACGCACCCTTTTGTTAAGCTGAAGCTAGACTGTTAGCCATCTGTGCAGACAAACACAGAGCCGGCTGCAGGATCCTCCCCCTTGTCAAGGTTTTTTTGCAGCCTTTGGTCAGTCTACTCACTGGTGAATTGGATAAATATTGGCTTGAGACTCTTTTGTGAGCGGCCTCTGTGTGACTCCTTTTATGAGGCAGTGTGGCAGTGTGGCAGTTGTCAAAGCGTGCATGTTTGGTTTGTATTCCACTAGTCCCGCTGCGAACATGTGGACATAGGTAGCCAGTGTCGGACCAACTGATTGTTTCTCACCATCACTGTGCTTTAGTGAGTGGAAATCTTTCTTTCTCCTCCACCCTCTGAAAATCCAGAAGGAAGCACAGCCTATCTCCCCCTAATCGAGTGATCTTAATCAGATTCACACATGCACGCCTGTGTAGATCCATCCCATGTGCTGCCAACCTACACAACGTGTTCAAACCCCCGACAATCATTGGACTACATTTTTTTCATCACGGCATCAAAGCTACTCCACCGCATAGAGTATCTCAGCTTAGTTCCACTCCATCCTCACTTTATCCACTTTCATTTCTATTCCCGCGGACGGCGAGAAGCTAGACTCTCATCGACTGGGGCTCAGAATCTAGCTCTAATGTCCTTATAGCAGTGTCTGACAGTATGAGGCCAAACTGCACACCAACAATCCCTCAGCTCTCCCTCGACTCGGACTCATTTGAATGAGGTGGGAATACATGTTCACGCACAGACCATACAGCGTGTCATCGTCAACAGAGGTTACAATGAGCTGATGGGAGGACGGAAGTGAAAAGAGAATAGAGTAGGATTGGTATTGTGTGTGTGTCCCTTGGGCTGCTGACTGAGACTGCATATTGCAGGCCAGGCATTGTCATGTGGGGATAGTTGGAAGCGAGGCTGCCAAGGCACTGACAGGCTGCAGCCCCACGGGGTCAGTCGGCAGCACGGTTCTGGAGCATCACCATCAGTCCCCCTTCCCCAGCCCCCCTCGGCTTGTTCATGTTAGTTAGAGAATGGGGAAAGGACCGCGTGCGTATGCATCAGTGTCTGAGCACTCGTACCATCGTCTGCGTGTTTAAGCTCGGTGAGGGATTCTGCGAGTATTTGAATGCATATTTATAGCGTGGTGTGCATGTCAGCCATTGTTAATTTAGTTGTATTATGAGCATGTTTCTGTGAGCTTGGTGAGTCACTGCTCTCATATAGCCGTGCTCTCTCTACCCCGTATTGACTCTCTCTCTCTCTCTCCCCTCCCCGGTCTGTTCTTTGCAGCATCGGGAGCGTGCTCTGTATAGCCAGACCTTTGTCCACATCATAATTGTCGTTGTCATTTTCTCTCCTCCTCAGTTACAGCTCATCGCATTGCTAGCTCTGAGTATGCAAATGCGTTAACCTTAACGTTAAGCTGGGAATAATGCAGTCGGATTGAAAGCATGCAGGAGGAGATGAAGAGGCTGAGTATGGGTCTCACTTTGTGTATACAGTTAGATCTAGAACATTGGGCCGCTCATGCTGTAATTGTTGGACCCGGGTCATTGTAAGCTCAGCAGACCCACACAGCATGTATTGCTACCTTATCCTCATGTTGAACATGTATTGGACACCTATTCATCTAGCTAATGCCTTTCTGCACCTGTTCTTCCATCACTCAGCAGCTTCGTACATTAGTGGGGTGATTCCCCCGGACATGGATCCCAGCCTAACTTGTCTCAAAGAGCGCCTCCCAGATGGGGAAACGCAGCCTAGCGCAGCACAAACTTAAGCTTGCTATACCTGTCTGATGCTTGTTCCAGTCATCTGAGCCAGCGGCTGATCAATAGCTGATCTAATGGAACATTAAAAGCCTCTGGGCGCAGAGGAAGGCAGGACTGCTGACACTGATGAGTAGACAGCCTGTGAAACATGGTGAGAGGGAGAGATTACAGAGAAGCCAAGGGGGTGCTGGAGCAGAGATGGATTTTCTACCCGCTAAAGGGGTATTGAGGAGGGGGAGGGGGGGCAAGGCGTGGCATTGGCAGGGTTTCTTGTTTTTGACTTGGAGTCCTGGTGCAGTGGAGATGGAGTGGGGATGAACAACAACAACCCTGCCTCTGTAAGATCGGCTCAAAGAGGCAACTACAACATGTATGTAGCAATTCAGTTGACCTCAGCTGTGTTCCCACAATATTTGGCCTGATTTTTTTTTATCTTTTGCTAGTGCATGTAGGGTTTCATCTGGATTCTGAAAGTCCTGCTCCACACTCTATCATATGTTTTCTCATTGCATGTCAATGACACAACCTCCACTGTAAAAGGTTGAAAGAGCCCGCTGTAGATGTGGTTGGTTTTTAGTGGCAGGCCACACTTCTTTCCTTTCCTTTTCCTTTCCATCACTCCCCATGCATCCCTCTTGGAAAAGCATCGCTCACTAATTTGCTTCCACCCTTTCTCTTTCACAGCCAGTCAGAGCCGGCTGGCTAGCAGACCCAATATAAAAAAATAACAGAGCTTAGTGTCTGCGACCCTGAATATCCCCTCTACTGCTATGTCATCACAATCCAACCCACGCCCACTAATGCGCAGCCAAAACACAGACCCGACCTATCTCAGGCAGCAGTGCATAGTAGTAATATGTTATATGTATCACCCATATCCCTAGCCTACTATGATATGTACTTCTGGTACCCACTGTCAGTATCCATACAAATAGATGCAAATGAAGAGATTTGCTTGGGACTGTTATTTCAATTTTGCCCCAGTCCCACAGATGAGTTATTGTCCTGTTTCTGTATTCTTATTGTTACCCATTGCAATACCAGATGTTGGAACATCAAGATTCAGAGCAGCAGTGTTAATGTTTAAATAAGATGTGGATTGGGGATGAAATTATGTACTATTTTACAATAATGCACGTCTAGAATGGAGATTGAGTGAAGAAACAGAACTTTGTTTGGCATTGCACTTGGATATCCACAGTTTATTGGAACACAAATTATTTATCCAGAGTCAAGAAGACCAATATCTTAATGTTGTCCTCATTATGCCCACTGTCCACTTCCAACCATAGTTTGTACTGCAAATCCTTTGTTTTAATTATTGTGGGAACATCAATCTCCCAAACAAAGCTTTGTGATGAAATTAACCTCAAATGTGTCACTGGACAGTTGAAGTTTTGAGTCATCGTGTGAGTAAAACAGGGTTGCGCCACCAAATTTAGATTGTAATCCCAATTTGCTACATGGGAAAGAAAAAAATCCTTTTAGTTTTGTCGTCGTCCCATTGCACAGACTGTTCTGTGTTATGAGTCATCCAGAGAGAAGGAAGTGAAACTGACTGGCACAACCTCCTTTATTGCTCCGCAACAATACGCTTAACTGTTGTTCATATGGTGTCAGGTTATACTATTGTCTCTAGTCAAACAATAGCAATAGGCCCTTGAGTTTCTGTGTGTAGGAGTGTGTGAGTCTTTCTTTCGAGCTAGTTTCACAGAGTGTACCAGAAACAAAAAAAAAAAAACCTGTTTAATCTCTCCAGCCAATAGTTCTCATTTTGTTTCTCCTCACCTTTGCCTCACACCTACTTTCCCTCCGTCTCCTCTCTACAGTGTGAGTGGGCGACTCATTGCGGCTGTAAGGCTGTGATCAGATCGTCTTATTTAATTTCTCCCTCTCAGCGCAGACTGTGTGTTGCTATGCTTTCACTCACATTACCAACAGAACTGTATAAGGAAAGCATTGAGTGTAATCACGGCTAAAAGATTGTGCATTTGTTGACGTAATAATTGTTTTTAAAAATGCTTTAGTTCGGTGCACAACCTGGATGCTCTACATTTGTTTTAGAAGGTCAGAAGTTAAATGGAGTTGGGAATATTCCTCGTACTACATGTTTACAGTTGTCGACTCTTACCAATATATACCAACGACCCGTCTCTGTTCTCCCCTTCCTCACAGTTGTTTTACAACTATTAGGCTGCGACCAACCACCTAATCTGAACTGGCTCCTGTGCAGCCAATGTAGGGCTCATTTCTGCAGTAGATGTCGGGCATTCTAATGTCCGGTTACCTCTGGGTGCCGTAGTCGAACCAATTACACACACACACACACACTCCAGCGTGTGTGTGTGTGCGTGCGTGCGTGTGCCCGCTTCAAATAAATTCTGCTTGCCTTCTCTGGTCTGCCTGCCAAGCATCAAATCCCATCATGCCCTGCATGTGTTAGAGGGCAAAAGATTCAGTGAGGAAATATGTCGTTATTCAACTGCAAAGAATTTGTCAACAGGCCCAGCAATCTTGAGTCTGTCTCTTCATATCAGGTCTATTCAAGCATCGTGTCCACCAAAGTGTTTATGTGACTGACTGGAAGATAGAAATCTGATTCAGCCAGCAGGGAGTTCCACTCTGCCTACACCACTCTACAGTGGAGCTCAGGGCTCTGTCCTGCTGCAGGGGATTTTCTCACCACACTGACGGTCCTTTTTTTTTTTTTTTTTTTTTTTTTTTTTTTTTTTTTTTATTTTTACTGTCAATTTCCCCTCCCCCTTCCCTCCCCAACCCCACTTCTCCTTTGGGTGTTTTCTTTCCAGGCCAAGTCGTGCATCTGTCACATGTGTGGAGCCCACCTGAACCGACTCCACTCCTGTCTCTACTGCGTCTTTTTCGGCTGCTTTACGAAGAAACACATCCACGAGCACGCAAAAAACAAGAGACACAATCTAGGTAAGCCAACACACTCACTCCACTATTTCAGGAATCATTTTGGAGCACATTTGAATTGATTTGTAGTATGTACTGTGTATGATAATTCTCTACATTCAAAATAAAATCTAACAATAGAGCTGAAAATGATGATATCAACATGCGTGTTGTCCCTCCCTACGTCCAAGGCCCGGTCCCATCACGTCAGTCCTCACATTCACATGCACCCCGGTGGCTCACTGCAGCATCAGCTATTACCAGCAAAGGATTACAGCATTACTTTGGGCAACTTCCTCCTCTGAGCAGACAGGGAGCTTCACTCTAACCGCAGCACATTACCGTTCTGGTGGGGAGCGCCTTAGCCAGTCAAATGTCATGAGTTTAAGTTTGCACTCTCCCTTTCACACAGCAGCAAGGGACTGGTAGACGGTTGCTAATCCACAGCTACCCAAAAAAGCCTTGCTTCAACCCTACATGCTAATTAGGCTAAATATGATGATGACACTAATGAGCGAGATTGTGGTATTGCTCCTACAGGGACGGCTAAATATAGAAGCCAGGGAGAGAGGGTACGGAGACTTGGTAGTTGTTTTGAATGGCTTTAATTGATTTAATGCACACAGACACCCCTGGTGCACGGCCACAGTGTTAATTACCTTTGAGCTTTCCACAAGAGCCTCTCTGACACTGGCGCTCTGTTCGTCTCCTCCTCTAATCAAATTAATCCAAACTCCCCGTCTGCTCTAAAACAAGATAGCAAGCTCCCTTCTCAGGACTCATTTTTACTTTTTTTTTCATAATTTTTCTAACCTCCTCAGGACACTGTCCTTATTTTTCCCTTGTCCTATTCAATCATTCTCTGGATGCCTTTCACATCTCCTTCTAGTTTTCTTCCACTTCCCCTTCATCCTTCTTTGCTCTCATCCTTTGCTCAAGTGAGCATGATCTACACTCCTCCACATCTTCATCCTCTCGTTGTCTTGTTGCCATGGTTTACCAGAGAAAAGAACGATGAATACATTTTCTTCTTCACTTTAATTCTTTGTATGTTCTCACACACAGATAACATGACACAGTGACGACAATATAACATACACCAGGCTTTATATACGATGTGTTAGCTCACTTCTCAGTGTGGGAAGCACCACAAACGGAAAGAAATGTCCAGTTAAGAATAGGTTTTCACGGCAACAGAGCTGAATTATTGTTAAAAAGGATGCTGTGTTAGTTAGACAGCCCAGGTGGGGGGGTGCAAATACACCTATTCATCACTACTACCCTTATATATCTTATAAATGCAAGAAATGAGATGGGAAAAATCTATTTTTAATTATGGCGCAATCTCTCTTTCTCCTCTCCCCCCCCC